ACTGCTCCGGAGGCAGTTGCGGTGGCCCCAGCTTTCACACTTTCGAGACGCTCCTTGAAACCCCGGGAAGGGCTCATAAATATCGATTATTTCAGTTTTTAGTATTAAAATGTATTAACCATCCAACAATTCTCGTACTCAATTTCGACCCGATACTGTGAATATCATGGGGGAAAAAAGGGAACATTTTTTTTACGGGAAAGTGATGGAGAATGCTGTACCCGAATAGAACATTAGGGGAAATCGTCGGACATGATAAGACAAATCTAAGCAACAAGACTTTATGCACAATACTGGCATGGATTAACATGGGTTAACATGGGTTAACCCATCACTTTTGGGGGCACCATTTTGCCACACAGCCAGTTGTTGAAAAAAAATATTGGGATAATTTTTAGATAGACAAAATCTGAATCGTTGAAACCACCCAGCAAACATGTGTCAAAAAACTGGAGCTCAATTTTTTTCGAATGCCAAAATAACTCTCTGTCCACCATGGTCATTCTACCCTAATCAGTAGGGGTTGCTCAACTTATACATCTATCTATTTGATTCTATTTGATTCTATTTGTCAGTATTCAATGACCATCAGTCCCCTGCAATGCTTGAACAAGTTCCATTATAACCCATCATGTTACAATATGTCATAATATATGTCATAACATGTCATAACATGTCATAACATTTTCTGATATCGATCTATATTAGTCCCGGCTCTGGTTATGCATACAGTGGTAGAACAACAAATTCGTAATACTATACACATTAATACACATTATAATACCAGTATTACATTGAAAAACAATAGAAAAACACTACAAAGATACAGAAAGTACATTTGAATCCCATATCCACTAGCCTCTGGTAAACTTACAGTTTAAGCTATTGAAAATGGTCATTGATTTATAGTGGATTTACCCATGGAAAATGGTGGATCTTTCCACGACCGTTTCCCCCTCCCGACTCGCGACCCGCACGGCTACGGCCGCCATGGCGCTTCTCCGACGAAGCCTTGCAGACTTCGGCCAGGCTCTGAGTCGAGCAGCTCGCGAAAACTGCCTGGCCGTTTTCGTCCGAAATCCCATGATTTGTACAATGTGAGGCACCCCGTTGTGATGTTAGTTGGTTAACAGAAGCCCCAGGAATACTATAGTTATTTGCGTACCATAAACCATAGTGACATTGAAGTTATAAAGAAACTTAGCTATCGAACGGGGGCCTCACGATGGGTTTTATGATAATCATATGGGTTTTATGATGTTTTATGATTTATAATCCAATGATATCATGATTATCATTGATAATAAATCACTGTTGATGAGAATCGGAAATCCCAGAAGTAGAACATTCCAATCATGGGATTATAACTATCCAATATATATATAATTATATACTATCCATTGATTAATGAGGAATTCACATACTGATCATAATGGATTGTGACCATCCCTATATTGGATAATGAATCCAGAGTGGGTGGTTTGGGTCACGTCAGCTCCAGTGAGGGATTGATCATTGTACTATGATTTCGTGTTCACTACTAGTGAACATGTATTGAACTTGTAGTATGACTGATTTAATCTTAAACAACATACATCCTTGTTCAGCAGTCAACAATTTTACTGGTTGTTCAAGAAGGATTGCCAGTACATGGATGTTGATAATACCAAAAAAATATCGGCCCTATCGGGTAGTATAACCAATCAACAGAGGTTTCCAATCAAGACATGTTTGTGTCACTGCTCAAGTGGAATCAAAGTCTAGAATGGATGTTCATCTGCCCAAATGATGGTATTAGATGGTTTAACCCATCCGCCATATGGCCCATATGTAACATAGGATATGCGGATTTGTTGTGGAAAAACGCATTTAGCAAGTCAATAAGATATAGTAAAGATCCAAATCAATGGGATGGGATATTTTTTGGGGACATTGATATTGAAGCAACAGAATACTCTATCATACAGGGCAATGGGGACATCGCCCAAAAGTGGGGCTTATGTTTAGTAAATTAGGTGACTCATTAATTAACCATCTATAGACTTACTGGAAACATTAACCATCACTAACCATTGGAAAAGTTGGAGTATCTGATTAGGGCTTCCCTGTCAGACAGGGGACCCCAAGAAAAAATGGTGCAGCCGAAGTGCCCCACACAGGATCGATCCACCTGGGCCCAGTTCGGCAAGTCCCGGCCGTTTGGAACACGACTACATACAACTGAGAAGATAAGTGTTACTATTGTTCATAAGTGATCATAAGTGATCATAAGTGATCATAAGTGATCATAAGTGATCATAAGTGATCATAAGTGATCATAAGTGATCATAAGTGATCATAAGTGATCATAAGTGATCATAAGTGATCATAAGTGATCATAAGTGATCATAAGTGTTCATAAGTGTTCATAAGTGATCATAAGTGATCATAAGTGATCATAAGTGATCATAAGTGATCATAAGTGATCATAAGTGTTCATAAGTGTTCATAAGTGATCATAAGTGATCATAAGTGATCATAAGTGTTCGTAAGTGATCATAAGTGATCATAAGTATTCGTAAGTGATCATCAGTGATCATCAGTGATCATAAGTGATCATAAGTGTTCATAAGTGATCATAAGTGATCATAAGTGATCATAAGTGATCATAAGTGTTCATAAGTGTTCATAAGTGGTCATAAGTGATCATAAGTGATCATAAGTGTTCATAAGTTTTCATAAGTTTTCATAAGTGATCATAAGTGATCATAAGTGATCATAAGTGATCATAAGTGATCATAAGTGATCATAAGTGATCATAAGTGATCATAAGTGATCATAAGCGATCATAAGCGATCATAAGTGATCATAAGTGATCATAAGTGATCATAAGTGTTCATAAGTGTTCATAAGTGATCATAAGTGATCATAAGTGATCATAAGTGATCATAAGTGATCATAAGTGATCATAAGTGATCATAAGTGATCATAAGTGTTCATAAGTGATCATAAGTGATCATAAGTGATCATAAGTGATCATAAGTGATCATAAGTGATCATAAGTGATCATAAGTGATCATAAGTGATCATAAGTGATCATAAGTGATCATAAGTGTTCATAAGTGTTCATAAGTGATCATAAGTGATCATAAGTGATCATAAGTGATCATAAGTGATCATAAGTGATCATAAGTGATCATAAGTGATCATAAGTGATCATAAGTGATCATAAGTGATCATAAGTGATCATAAGTGATCATAAGTGATCATAAGTGATCATAAGTGTTCATAAGTGTTCATAAGTGATCATAAGTGATCATAAGTGATCATAAGTGATCATAAGTGATCATAAGTGATCATAAGTGATCATAAGTGATCATAAGTGATCATAAGTGATCATAAGTGATCATAAGTGATCATAAGTGATCATAAGTGATCATAAGTGATCATAAGTGTTCATAAGTGTTCATAAGTGATCATAAGTGATCATAAGTGATCATAAGTGATCATAAGTGATCATAAGTGATCATAAGTGTTCATAAGTGTTCATAAGTGATCATAAGTGATCATAAGTGATCATAAGTGTTCGTAAGTGATCATAAGTGATCATAAGTATTCGTAAGTGATCATCAGTGATCATCAGTGATCATAAGTGATCATAAGTGTTCATAAGTGATCATAAGTGATCATAAGTGATCATAAGTGATCATAAGTGTTCATAAGTGTTCATAAGTGGTCATAAGTGATCATAAGTGATCATAAGTGTTCATAAGTTTTCATAAGTTTTCATAAGTGATCATAAGTGATCATAAGTGATCATAAGTGATCATAAGTGATCATAAGTGATCATAAGTGATCATAAGTGATCATAAGTGATCATAAGCGATCATAAGCGATCATAAGTGATCATAAGTGATCATAAGTGATCATAAGTGTTCATAAGTGTTCATAAGTGATCATAAGTGATCATAAGTGATCATAAGTGATCATAAGTGATCATAAGTGATCATAAGTGATCATAAGTGATCATAAGTGATCATAAGTGATCATAAGTGATCATAAGTGATCATAAATGATCAATTTGTGATGAATTTGTGTACTATGATCTACTATGGTTCACTTCAGTTACTGGATCTTGCTATGGATTTTCCCTGCATCCAAGGGACTGGTCCAAGGGGCCACTGACGGATCCGAGACGTCGGAGATGTCGGAGACGGGGATCCCGGGGATCTCAGCGTCATGGCGAATGGGAGATGTTCATGGTGATTTTATAGGTCAATAGTGGTTAATAACAATGGTTTATATATATGGTCAATATATGGTCATTATAGGTCAAAATATTTTCATGGTTTTCGTGATCATAAATGGTGATTTTTTCGGGATTTGATGATGTTTACCATTGTTTACCCCTCATGACTATGGGATTTTATGGGATTCACCGTAACCATAGATATCTATAGATGGGATAATTCTATCCATAGATAGTTATAGAATGTTATAGATATTTATCTATAGATATTTATAGATTATATGGGATTAACCATCCATACCCTCTGGTAAACTGTTACATAACGAACTGGAAAATCACCATGTTTCATGGGTATATCAACTATTTCTATGGCCATGTTCAATAGCTATGTTTGTTTACCAGAGGGTATCTAATATTATTATAGAAATATTATAGATATTAATGGGATTCTATATATATATATATATGAATTATATGGGACAACCTATGATAACCTACATCAAATATAGATATTCATGGGATTTAACCATACCGGGAATAGTTGGTTCATTACATTCATATTGGTTCATGGGATTCTGCGGTACACTCTGCGGTACACCAGCTTGATATATTTGATATTAATGGTTTATGGTCATCCATCCCGTTGCCATGGAAATCCTCAAATCATGGATATGTAAATCCCTCTGAAATGGAGTGATGACCAAGCCCCCCCAATATCTATTCCTTTGGGGATGAACATCCAGAAATAGATTTCTCAGCTATTTTTCGATGTTCGAAAAGCAGGGTTTTGAATGGTTTTGACTTCCACAAAATTGAAGAACCGCTGATGCAAACATCTTAGATTTGGTGAAGATAGGTTCACTTGTCTGTTTTGACCATTGAACAGCAGTGTTTCATGCATTGAACAGCGCTTTCCTCCATAGCACGAGACCTTCGTGCTCCGAGTGTCTACATCGAGTTGATCCCAGAAATGTGATGCCGGTGATGCCGGCAAAGCAGCAAAGAGAGCAACCAATGAGGCCTGCAAAGCATAAAAATCAACACCACGTCTGGAAATCATGGTTAATTTGCGGTTAAACAGAGAAACCAAATGACAGCAACACATTTCTACCTCTGCTGGGGGGACTTCAAGGTCCGAACAATGACCCATGTGTATCCGGGGTGGTTCTAAGGCCTGAATTTCATCCGTCAAAGTGGGTCCGTTTGCACCTGCAGGTTGGGGATATGTCCAGGTACGCAAACCGCCCAGTGCTGAGCTTTCAAATAATGCCTCTATCCATCTCTATCTATCTCTATCCATCTCTATCCATCTCTGTATCTCCATGTCTATCCATGTCTATCCATCTCTATAGATCTCTATCCATCTTTATTCCACTGCTTTGTTTGCATTTATTTACCCCCTTTTTTGATGGTCAAAAGCTGTAACATTTGGTGAATGCAGGGCTAACCTCACCCAGTTTCAAGTTTTGTTAGAAAAAGGACCTGCCTCTCAGGCGCATTTCGCTAAGGTGCACAGGAGTTCATTCTTTTTTCTGAACAAATTTTGATGAACTGAAACAACAGTAGAAACGTCTCTATCTACAGGAGGTTTTGCCGGGTTTGCTGCTTTGCATTAACTCTATTGATGCTGACTGCAGGCACAATGTGGTGAAAAGCCATGTCATTTCCTATGAGAATCACTGGATCTGGTGTGAGCAATTATATCGTTCTGCATTGGTCCGATTCTTTAAAATCTCGAGCCATTGAACGCTCTTCGGCCCATTTTCACCTATAACTCAGAAGCTAAGCACTCGCATGCATGCACTTGCAGCATTTGTCCTGGCTGTAGTAGCACGTGCCTTGCCATTCCATGTCCAATGACATCAACCACTTCATCTTGTGCAGTCCGGGCAGCTCATTTCATCCCATGTTGATCATCCAATATTGACCATACAACACTATGTCGACATCTACGAGTCATCTACGTATAGATACTTCAAATATCTTCCAACTTTGATCCGCAGCCGCTCCATTTTAAGCATCCTCTTAAGCACTCCCCGCGTCCGCGCATCGGCTCGACTTGAACCTGCCAAAAGCAGCCCGACCATGGACAGCTTGCAGCCTCCAGAGGATTCGCTTACCTTGGATGACCATTTTTTGTAGAAGTCAAAGTCGCATGACTCGCATGACAACACAATCAACACACATCATTTCAATGGGTTTCAGGCAATGATCATCAATGAATATCAATGATCTGGTGGCATCTGATTTTCCTTGGGATGTTTCTTCATGTTTCTTCGCTGAGATCCACCAAATCCAGGGACGAGTTGCTTCAGCTTCTTCTTGGGGCGGAGCTGGTTGCTGTGGCCGCACTTCTTCTTGCGGCAGTTCACGGCCCGAGCCTTGCGTGTTTTGGGGCTACCCATGGAGCCAAGGCTTGTCATATGAAAGCCTATTAAACCATCCAGTTAAATCAGTTAACAAGCAAACAAACACATTTTGGGATATTTTGGGATCGATCCTTTTGACCCATACCCAAGGGACCCAAGGCCGACCAGCAACCTGCCAAACCTATCCAAACCTGCCATCTGTCCGAGAAACATGGAGGCGAGCATAGCACTTGCGGCAAATCATCTTCTCGCAGTTGAACTTTCGGGCAAGCACCTTGGGGAAATCCGCCCATTTTTCAGTTGTCCATGAGCCACGGTGAATCTATCATAACAAAAGGCTGAGAAGGGTAAGAACATGTAAGACCCCTGGCTTCCTGTAAATGTTCCCACCAATCTAATCTGATGACATGTACAGTGTTTCGATTTTCCGGTTTTTGACATTTTCGACAAGGCTCGGCCAAAGAAGGCTCAATGACACCACCGCGAAGACGCAACACCAAGTGCAACGTGGACTCCTCGGACGGGAACGCTGAGCCGAATGACATCCCTTGACTGGGCGTCGGTGAGGCCATCGCCTTCTGAATGTTGTAGTCTGAAAGGGTGCGGCCATCCTCCAACCTCAACATTTGCGGAAAGCCATCGGCCATCATCATCATCATCATCATCATCATCCCCAAGGAAAGCCATGTTTGAGGGGTGCTATGTTTACCATCCCCAGTCATGGTAGGTTTTAGTTTTATTGGGTTGGGCATGGTTGGGCACATTGGAGCTGTTGAAGCCAGCCAGTCAGCTTGCACGAAGCCGTTGAGTTTCTCAGTGCATGGCTGCTTTCCAGCGAAGATCAATCGCTGCTGGTCGGGAGGAATGCCCTTAGTGCTTCGACATGGGTCTCACCATGTTTGGTTGGCTTCATCTTCAAGGGGTTAGCAAAGGAATTTGAAATCTAGAGAATCTACGGTAATCATTTTTTTTTGCAAACCATCGAAATGGGACAAGTCAAGCGCATTTAAGAGCATCCAAATCATCCAATGTAATTATGAGTCAAACGCCTTGTGTTCCTGTGAACACCAAATAATTAGATTGTTATGGATATTTCACCCATTACAGTATAGTCCAATTCTTAACCCATTATAGTCCCACTAGTAAGCCATTGTTCATCCCCAAAAATTTATGTGACAGAAAACTGAAAACATCAGTGGCCGACAAAGCCCTGGACCTCCTTGTCTTGGATCTTGGCCTATCGCGGGATTGGGAAAACTATGAACTGCTTGGCAAAAAGGAACCTTTCACAGGATTGCCAGTAAATTCTTAGGCCCTAGGCTTTCGAAGTATATTCCATTTCACTTCAGTCACAACATATTGTTAACTATACATTAACATAGGATACGCTTATCATTGAATAACTTTCAGAGATTTCAGCTTGTTGTATTGTAAAGATCGTAATTGTTGCGCCTTCACATTGTCGATGGTGTCGGATGCTTCCACGTCAAGCGTGATCGTCTTGCCCGTGAGGGTTTTGACCTTGGAAAGGATACCCGCAAACTCAATGATCGTAATGATCGATGGTTCGCGGGTAATTGAATAGCATTCATCCCATTCACTAAATATACATAATTGGGAACATACAGCGATTCATATGTTAGGATATGCACCAAGATACAGCATTCGACGGGATATCTCTAAATCAATCTATATAAATTATATTAAATTTTAAATATATAAAATTATTAAATATATATACATATATCATCATATATCTAGCAAAATTGGGGACATACATACTTGGGATAGAAGCAACACCAATGGGAAGACTGCCACTCTGATGATCCATTCCCCAAATCCCCAAATCCAAGGGTTCATCCTCATTTTCCGCCGAAAGAAACTGTATATTTTTTAGACACAAAACATCACATGGTTCATAAATCCCATAATATCCCACATGATTATCCCATATTATCCCATAATTCTTTCAGTATGTTTTACCCTCTGGTAAATTAACAGTTCGACCCTGGCAGTCATCGGGGTTGGAAGACTAGTTTCCATTAAAAATCCATTAAAAATAGCTGATTTTCAGGCTCTAACTGTTTATTTACAGGCTATCTCACCATTTTAACCAGGATCCCATCGGATCCCAGCAATCCTGAGACTGCAACGAAGATCTGCATCTCGATGCGCTGCCGTTGCGACGCGGCCGCGGGAAAGTACTTGAGCCAAGTTCCCCTAGCGAAAAACGAGAGTTTTATGGATTGGGTTTCTCCAAAATAGGGGAGAATGATGGAGAATGACCCATGATACCCCCAATTTTGAACAAAACCACAAAATCACTTGAATGCAGAATATTGCCATTAATATCATTAATATATGACCAGTGACGCATAGAATTTTCATGATAAGTTTGGGCGCCTACATTTTTTGGCATCAATCGCGATCCATGATACAGCGCCAGGGGAATGCGCAAGCTTGACATGCGAAAGGTATTGGGCGCAAAACCGCTTTTACAAGTGATGGTTCAAGACTTTGCTGAAATACCAAACTGATGGATACCATTGGTCCAATACCCACGTCTGTCATTCACCTTTGCAAACTCAAGGGTGACAAATGGCAAACTGTACACACCTTTGTCACAAGTTGCAAAAGCCAACAAAACTCAGCTCGGTTCAACGCATGATGCATTTCCGATTCCAATCCCACTTCAGTGCTACGGTTCGTGCTTCTGACTTCCACACCTTCTGAAGCTTCCGCTGTCTCTGCATCATTCTCGAACCTTTCAAATGAAAGTCATCAACTCAGCAGTTTCTCACTTTGCCATCATCATCTTCACCATCTCTTCATAGCCTCCCCCACCCTGGCCCTGGAGCATCTCTGGGAAGCCCAAAATCATCAAAACTATTTGTGAAAAAAAAAACATGATAAAACACCCGATTTTGATAGGGGAACCCCCCATTTTTTTGAAACACACCCCTGCAAAAAGAAGCTGAAATTTCCCTGGTGATGGACAGTGGCTTAATAGGGCAAACGGCAGAAAACAGTACCACATGCGAAGACGCAGGTAAAGGTATCAAAATGTACACATTGTATGCACCCTTAATATGACACATTGAACATGCTGCATATCTATGTATGTATATATATATATATATACACATGCAACGATGTGTGTGTGCGCGTGCAACCAAGAAGCAAACACCACCGCAGCGTTGAGGGCGAGCGGTGTTACCTGCACAAGAAAGACATGGAAAACTCAAGGACATCGGTCGATTTAAAACCAAACTGCCGTCAACGTAATGCGGCAGTAATGCGTTATAAGAGTCATCTCGTCGTCAGATTCACATGGCATGGTTTCAAACTTCGTTGCCTTCTTTTTCGCAATCGAGAGAATGAATGGAGCTGTTCACTTCAACAGTGCAACAAGTGACATGGAGTCAAAACCCTTGCACCCGGATGGTCAGTCATGGTAAATTTACAGGTAACTTGACCCATCCCCACATTGGCCTTTGACCATTTTGTGCACAAGTACAGGTGGAGGAGTCTTGGGCCATTCTGGAGCAACTTGCTGCAAGAGGTGCAACGCAGCTGTCCTTGGAAGGCGCGTTGCAATATAGGCTTTCTGGATGCTATGGTGCAATTATCATAAACTGCATGTTATAGTTACTATGATAATGGATGTTAATGGATCCATAGTTCTTTTACCCAGTAACCCCAGTTATGTTCTGGTTGGTGGTTTTAACCATCTTGAAAAATAGGAGTTCGTCAATGGGAAGGATTAATTATCCCATATAATTATTATGGAAAATCAAAAAAATGTTTGAAACCACCAACCAGTGTTTGTTGGTGTATAGTTACCCTCTGGTAAACTAACATAGCTATAGAAAATGGTCAATTTATAGTTGATTTACCTATTAAAATAGTGATTTTCCATAGCTATGTTAGTTTACCAGAGGGTACTGGATGAAAAACCTGGGCTTTGTAAACCACCATTCAACGGGGGCGAAATTCCCCACCGTTGAACCGCTACGATACGACCAACTTGGCGAGCCAAGGTGCCATGGAGCTGATGAGTTGTGGACGCTACCCTCTGGTAATGACTCACATAGCTTTTGAAAATTGCCATAGAAATAGTGGATTTATACCCATTGAACATGGTAAAATGGTGATTTTCCATATAGTCTTGTATGTATGTTTACTAGAGGGTAAGCCCTGAAGAGATTCGTGGCAGATTCGAGCATCTCGAAAGATTCTCTTTGGAATTTAAAGATCAACTAGTCCAGAAAATCTGTGTTGCACCGCATCTCAGGTCTTCTATTAGCAGTACCCGCATTCCTTGCGTACGTCGATCAATCAGTCATCACACAACATCACACATCCTATCCCAATTCCTTGCAACTAACATCATTAGTTATAGTCAGTAAAAAGTAAATTAGTTAACTAATGATCAACTAACATCATTAGTTCTATTGGCTATTTTCCTTTCAACTGACATCATTAGTCATAGGTCATAGGGGTCATAGTAAATTTGCGTTGCACTTAAAACTGTTGGCCGTGTGGGAATCTCAAAGAAAATCCCAAGTCTTGACTTGCATCAAGCGGATTCAAGCTGCACAAGGGAACGGTGTTTTCAGATGTTTTCAGGATGTCTCTTCCATCGTTGCGACACCTCCCCAAACGTCACAAGTCCAATGACAAACTCACACATTGAAGCACTTCAATGTGTGCGTGATGCTTGGGTGTCTGAAATTGAGGTAATTATACCATGATATGCCTCCAAAATGGATCAAAATGGTATGTTTGAGAGGAAATGTTATGATGATAAACCATGAGTCACCCATGTATTTGGAGGTTTTCCCATCGTTTTCAGACAAACCCATATAAGCCATGTAGTTTGATGCCAACATGTTTCAGCCTAGTCACGACGTCTCGCTGTCTATCTGGTTCAGCCATGCTCTTGCTTTTTTGGCCAGCAGATCCTAAGAACAGCTGAGGCGATGAAACAGCTTGCGCAGCATGGCAAACCAGGAATGATAGGCAAACGTCCCCCAACTCATAGATTTTCCACATTGACATGAATCACTCATGTTTTTTCATATATGTCCAACAAAACACGACTTGCGGAATCTTCCGGATGTATGAGCTCGGTTTAATCCGATCGAGGAACCCACTCTGCAGAAAGACCTCAAAAGGCGGAAAAAAACAGCCATGGCGAAAGGCGAAAACAACTGTCGTTCATTGCAGGTAAAGATACAATTTGAGGAAAGTTGACCTTTTGGCAATTTAACATAGCTCTGGAACATGATAGACTGTTGGGAAAAACCTGGGATCCCAGCACTTAGGGGGTGACACACTGATGATTCTCCATAGCTATGTTGAATTTCCAGAGGGTATCCTGGCCAAGATAAACGAGCGGCCAGGCAAGTACAGCTCAAGTGCAGCAAGCACCAAAGCTGTTGCCCACTTCGGTCCTGTTTTTCGCAGGATGGGCCCCTACTGGCCCCAGGGAGCTGGTTGTGGATGTTCAACCCCCCTATGGATGAATATGATGTATAAATGATTAAGATCCCCACCTGAATAAGGATATCTACACCATATATAGCTTTACATATATATATATATATTTACATACACCATATCCAAATAGTATAAACAAATAAAACATAATAAAACCATCTCCAAGTATACATGATCAATGTCTGGTCTTGATCCCCTTGCCTGAATAAATCTGAAGAGTGCATCCTCATGGATTTCCAGGACCAAGGCTTCAGCATGCTTCAAACATGCTTAACCAATCTATCCTGGCGATAGACAACCCCTCTGTATTGATACCATTCAGATTCATATCCATTCATAGAATGTAGATTATAGAATGGTATATATGTGTATATATTATAGACGACTATAGATTTGAGAATTGGGACAATATAATTAGAGATTATAGATGATTATAGAATATTTTTCTATATTGCCCCCGCTGAAAATGATGTTTTTTTATCCTACTGTAAACATAGACAAATATCTGGGTTCCACCCATAATTTGTAGATCATTGTCTGGGTTTCCCATGGTTTTTTCCTGATCTTTCTGTATGTTTACCCCAGGGTTTTTACCGCAGAAATTGTAACGCCCCCAAGGGACCTGGTATCATCTGGGCCAGGATGGTTGATACCCCCATTCCATCTCAACTAGTTGGTTGAGAGGTTTCCCAATCCTATGCGTTAGAAAAACATCCCGAATAGATCCGTTTTAAAAGGAAGTGTAAGTCCCTAGTTCTTAACCAATCGACCATCATGTATCAGTATTAGTTTATCTATGTGTTATCTATATGTCCTATCTTAGATAGTGAAAACCCCATCAAACCACTATCATTGATTGTCATTGATGGTAATTTCCTATTTTAGATAGTGAACAGCCCATAAAACATCATAAAACATCTGAAAACATATCATAAAACATATCATAAAACATATCATAAAACATATCATAAAACATCATAACACATCATAAAACATATCATAAAACATCATAAAACATATCATAAAACATCATAAAACATATCATAAAACATATCATAAAAACAGCATACAACATCATAAAACATCATAAACCATATCATACAACATCATAAAACACATCATAAAACATATCATAAAACATATCATAAAACATATCATAAAACATATCATAAAAACAGCATACAACATCATAAAACATCATAAAAACGAAATAAAACATCATAAACACATCATAAAACATCATAAAACATCATAAAACATCATAAAACATCATAAAACATATCATAAAACATCATAAAACATATCATAAAACATATCATAAAACATATCATAAACACATAATAAAACATATCATACAACATATCATACAACATATCATAAAACATCATAAAACATATCATAAAAACATCATAAAACATCATAAACACATCATAAAACATCATAAACACATCATAAACACATCATAAAACATCATAAAACATCATAAACACATCATAAAACATCATAAAACATCATAAACCATCATAAACCATCATAAAACATCATAAAACATCATAAAACATCATAAAACATCATAAAACATCATAAAACATCATAAAAACATCATAAAACATCATAAAACATCATAAAACATCATAAAACATCATAAAACATCAAAAAAACATCATAAAACATCATAAACCATCATAAAACATCATAAAACATCATAAAACATCATAAACCACCATAAAACATCATAAACCACCATAAAACATCATAAAACATCATAAAACATCATAAAACTACTCGGATTTAAATTGATGGTGAAGCCCCCTAATTCTTCATGAAAACCCGCCCAGCTCCCCGCCTTCAAGAAACGCATCGTTTGGCAATGCCAAGACCTCCCGAAGCTCCAAGGTGTCCTTCCAAGAACCATCAAAGGCCTCAGAAATTGGATGGTGAACCAGACATGAAAAATGGAAACAGCAAAACATATGCAAAACATATGCAAAACATATGCAAAACATATGCAAAACATATGCATCATATTAATAATATAATATGCATTTTCTACCTCTTACTGAATATTGTACAGTACAGTACATATTTGGGATGTACTCGGATGTATTATATCTCAAGTTGGCTGAGTCGTTTTCACCGAAAAGCAAATATGACCTATCTTTTTTCACAGCTGTTGCTGCTTGGTGAAGATAGCCACCCACAGTTTCTTTTTTCTTCTTCAAGGCTACGCAGTCGAACTACTGTATCAGTCGAACTGTTGCATTTTGCATGTAAGGGTGATTTTTTATATTTTTTCCGAACCACGAGACTTCTACAATTCTTTGCCTTAGAAACAGACTTACCACAAAGGCGACCTGACGAGAAGGACATCCCCAGCCTGAAGGAGAATAAGTTCTTGAAGCCATGCCTTGCGTAGTGATGAAGCACTTGGGTATGGACCTGAAAATTGGGGATTTGCCAACCCTAAGATGGAGACATAATGGGATTTCAATGGATAGGACCTGACCTCCCAATTATATCTATGGCGATTTGATGAGGGAAATGATGAAGAAGGGTATATACCTGAGATGGATTTATGATTTAGGGGTCTTCTCAACATTTCCAGACAAACCCACCATTTCTGTAGGGATCTGAAAAGGACCGACCCCTTCCATCAACCCCATGGGCCGTGCCTTCTGTTTATTCAGAATGGTGGCAGCGTCTGGAGGAACAAACTCTGTCTCTGTGCTTTCGCTCTCCTGGAAAGGACCAAATCTGAACAAAGACTGCAGCATAGTGAGTCAACCCCGGATGAATAAATTCTGAATAAGATAAAATTGTGGATTACCCCAAAATATGAAGTCTTTAAATGTTCAATCCCCTTCTCAGTAGACAGGGGGTTACCATTAATCCATATTAATCCACTGTTAACATTGCAGTGATTGCAGCATAAGATGCCTGCTCAAAGTCACAACCAACGTCAGCTTGTCTGAACATCTCGTCAATCTCTTGGTCGCTCAAACACTCTCCTGGCCGTATCTTAGCAGAATCTGCAAACAAGATCTTTGGCATTCTTTGACTATCCCTCAAAGTCAGATCTGACTCATGTTACAAATCAGCTTGTGGTGATAATCAGGCCAGGGGTAAAACCAGTCATTGGGATATTCTTTAGCTGTTTCAACTGGGATTTGCATAGGACATGCATTGGGGGGAATCAAGGGGTCTGGATTTTCGCTTCCCGTAAGCCAAAAACCCATCGAGGACCCTAAATTCCGTTCTGGGAAAAAGAAAGGCCAAGGAAGGGAACGCACCAATCTGGGAACTGGAAACACCCAATCCCTCCATCAACCTCATCTCTCAAGACTCCGCACATGTTTTGGGATGTTTCTTTTTGTTCTTTGAGACACGGTTTGACAATTTGAAGGCTCCCTTCATGCTGTTTTTTTTGCTGCAACACACCATGTGGAGGGAGCATTCGACTCAAAAGCTTTGCAAAAACATCGACTTTGCCGAAGTTGTGCGAATCGGCAATCAGCAATCTGACTGCCGCCTCCTACCGCCTGATGGTCACAGGATGATGGAGGAGGGAACCCCGGGCACTATGAGTATGGCCATGTTCATAGGCGAAATATTATGGGGAAATCATGATCAACTGTGGATTTTGGTGATTTTTTGGAGGCAACCCCATGCATGTGTCAAGGTTTTGCACGGCTTTGCAAGGTGAGGTGTTTTGACACTAGTAAACCAGAGTAGACCATCTGGCAATGTGCTATATTTCAGCTGCAACACACTTCAAGTGAGGATTCAAAATGGCAGGCCAAAAAATGCGGCTTTGAATTCCAACAGCTGAGTAGACGGCTGGATCTACAGCTCCCAAGCTTTATCAAGCTTTTGAATGAGGGGAAGCACTGGATTCTGTGCTTTGCTTGCAGACCAGAGTCACTCAACACAGCTCAACTCAAACATTTCTCACCAAATTCTTTGCTTTCCGAGTCCGTTGCCAGAGCATGCCAAAGCTCCCTCGGAGCGGCAGATCTGGCGCTTCGCGAAGCCGGCTTCGCGATTCCGCCTGAAAATTCCTAATCAAAGTTGGACCACGGACCTGGTACTTCGCCTTGAGCTCAGAAATGTACATCTTCTTGAGGGGGGAATGGTAATCATCGCTTCCTTGAAATCGATCTGATCGAGATCTGGAACTTCAGGCTCCGCAGGCTCTGGCGTCTCAACTTGCTCAAAGATTTGTCGACGATAGTCTATCAGCAGTTGAAACGTCTTGGGACTTTTTTCCACTGCGACTCGGAATCGATTGAGGTGCATCCACTGTGTTTCCATCTGTAAACAGAAATCCAAATGGGAAAGGAATCCTTTCCGACCGATCGCTGGCGGTGTCGCTCTTGCAGCTTTCGGTAGCTTTAATGATTCGATGGGTGCCATGGCGCCCTCCCCCACCCTCCAGTGGCTGTAGCTGAGCCAAGCAATTGCAGTTCTGCATGCCATGAAAACGAAACAGCACCCCAAGGTCCATGGAAAGCAAACACAAATCTTCAGAACAAGGAAATTGTACAATGTGGTACCCCCCAGTTATAAGTTAGTTTATAACCCCCATCAACTATAGATATATCTACCATAAGTCCCACTTATTGTAGTTATAAACCAACTTTGTATGAAATCATCGGCTCACTTACTTCATTTTGCCTCTGGAAAACTGAAGCATACTGTAAACTTGGTTCTTCAATCGATCGCTTGAAGGGAAACCCTTTAGAAAACTGTGACTTAGAAACCCAAAAAGACTCAAATCCAGGGTTTGGCCTCGAGATTTCTCCCTAAACTCAGATTTTCGAAATCTCATCACACCATGACAATCTAAAGGAAAACCCCCAATTCGAATAGATTATCATTCAATTTTCCCCTATGTTTTCCCTATTAAAGTGGCCACAAATGTGGGTATATTACCCGCAGATTGGTCATTTTGTCATCATTTTCCAATGATTTCCCCCATGATTTCCCCCGTGCCTAGATTGGTCATCACATGTCGAAATTCCGCCGCAGAGATGAAGCCGCTGCCGTTGACGTCGAAGACCCGAAAGGCTTCCATGAGTTCCTCCTATGGGAAAACGCTTCAAGAGAATAAGCACCACAGTGAGATAATAGTATATATATAATATCATATATATATATATAATATCATATATATCATATATATATATAATATCATAATATGTATATATATAATATCTTATATGCACATACCTACCTACCTACCTACCTACATACAGACAGACAGACAAACAAACATATGTATATATTAATATATGTATACATAACATGTCTTCATTTCTTAACATATTGACAACATATACATTACGTATTGCTACGTACGCATAGGTATGTCTAATATGTATATCTACTATATCGACACAATACGATCCATAACTATAAACATATACATAAATCATCAAAAATAAATAAGAGGATATATAAGTATAATGATATATATATATGAGTTAGATGGATATGTTTCATATCTTCTGCATAAAACACAACGTACGACAACATCGTTCTTCGTTCCGCCTCCCCGTCTGTGTCCCTCATCTTTCGCGCTTGCCTCAAGAGGCGTTTGATTTGGGATGGAGGACCAAAAGAGAAACACGGAGATTTAACCGAGCGAAATTGGGGGTTTAACTATCGGTTTAACATGGTTTAACCATTATCTTTTTACCATCAAAACTCAAGGCTTTAACATGAAAGATGGGGATTCTCCGGTCACTCGCCGCGCGGAATCGCACTATGGCACTATGGGGGAATGCCGCTTGGAAAACGCTTGGCACCACAGGATTTTGGATTTCCAGATGTTCGGATAACCACTACTTGGATTCATTAAAAGAAAAAAACAATTTGATACCAATGATAATTGAATTTTGATAACCAAGTTTCCAGATGTTCTACTAATTATTCTGGCATTAATATACCCCCAGACTTTTGATGGTTTGTTTCACCTCCATTTTGAAAGCCAAAGGGCATGCTGAGAAACTCTGGAAAGTCTATGACGCCGTTCCCGTCGCAGTCCACCTCATTGATCATGTCCTGGTGCTGTTCATTTTTTCAGTGTGGTTGGGACTTCAGCCACCATTTATAGACATCCTCATATCATACTTGATGTTGATGTTCTATGTTTTTTTTAAACTTTTGACCATATGTTGAAATATGTTGAAATTAAGGATGGTTTCTGATTGGCTGAACGTCGCCTTCATGTGCTACGCAACTCATTTGAAGGCCTTTTTGGTCTAGGATTGCGCACTGGTTCGCTTCCCTTGGACCGTCTTGGCCGTCTATGTACAGTCAATCTCTTTCAGATGTCCAATGGTGTAAGGGAAAATGTACAGGAAAACCCCGATACTTGGCTGGCTTACGGATGCTTTCTGGTTTCAAATTTCCCTTAAACCTAGGGAAGATGCGATCAGCTTGCCTGGTTCAAATATGGTTTGCACATCCACATGACTTGAACAGCCGTGACGTGTTCAACTTTGGAGGCCAGGGAAAGGCTATCAACCAGTTGTGTCTTCAACTGGACGTCTTGTTCCGCACGATCTGCGGCCTGAAACAGCTCCAGAACATCAACTTCTTCGGGATGAAGAGCAGCATCTCGTGCTTTCTGATGTAGATCTGAAGCCGCCTGCTTGCATTCCTGTAGTACCTGGCTCAAAAGGGTCAAACCTCTGGTACCCGGAAAACACCAAAACAGCTGGTCGTTCTGGATGTTCATCCCGAAAATACCATGTATAGGTTTCTTCTCATTGATAAATCATATATATATTCACATATGACATATAATCATATACATATAATCATATACATATTACATATCTATATCAATCTATATCTATCTATATCTATCTCTATTTATCTCTATCTATATCTATCTATATCTATCTATATCTATATATATATATCTATCTATACCTATCTACATCTGTCTATATCTATCTATATCTATCTCTATCTCTATCTCTTTATCTCTCTATCGATCTATCTATCTATCCATCTTATCTTATCTCATCTAATCTAATGTATCTATCTATATATATATACATATTATATATACAAATAATGATAAGTTTTGATCCATCCCCACCTCGCGTAGAATCTCAAAGATTGGCTCCAAATCTTCAGCTGCAATTTGATACCTTTCATCTGTTGTTTTGGCTGCATCTCTGCGGCGCAACGCTACCATGAAATCATCCAGCAGCTGCACTCCACGCGCATCCGCGCGCCGGAAGTCTTTCAAGAAGTCTGGAGCCAACCGGCGCGCTTCTTGGGCTTTCTCAAGGTCCATGGCCTTTTTTCTTGATGGAAATTGCCAAGTGTAAATTGCTATACTTTGTGATGCTGTTTGCATACAGCACAGTTCTGAAACTCTTTATGAAAACAAGCAGAACTGCATGAAAGAGATCGAACCAAATGGAACAACTCTGCAATGCATGCTTTCCTGTCGGACAAGTTCTACAAGCACAGCTACGATTCCACTTGCAACTGGCTGTGGGTGTCACTTCTCAAACGAGCGCTTTGAGGATTGGTTTTATGATTGAATTGATTTGAGGGAAATGGGGGAAAACATGATAGTAAACCAGCATAAACTAGCATTGTTACACTGCCAATACACCCAACTAATTATGGGGCTTGAACGATTTCCCCTTCAGCCGCGTTTTACAAACACCCTCAGGATTTGATGGAAAAAAACACCATGAAAAACATCTGCAAAAACACGCAGATCGTCATCTCAATGATGGATCGAGTTGTTGTTGTTGTTTGCTGCATGTTGTTTGCTGCATTTTATGGATTTGGAATGATTTGGATGGACTTGGCACTTTGACATATTTTGAATAGAACATGACCTTGTCATTCGAACCGCGTTTCATGGCGTAGCACCGTCCTGTAGTTCTGCCTCCGTGGGGTTTTGCCCCAGGGACCGCATGAGAGGTCCAAGCTCGCGAGTGGAAATGCAGCCTGGCTGGGATGGCGAGAATTTCTTCACTGAAATGTTTACCATACAAAAAACTATGGGACATCACCATGCTATTATTAATGGGAAAATCCACTATTTCTATGGGCCATTTTCAATAGCTATGTAACAAATTACCAGAGGGTATGCCAATTGATGGATTTCCCTAATGGATTTCCGAAGGGCATAAAGCCATCCAAGATATCCAAGCCAGTTCCGATTTCGGCATAAATTTGAGTTGTGTTTTTTCAATTATCACACCAAAATCCTGAGTTTGGGTAGGATCCATCTCTGAAATGGGAGTGATTGTTACCCTCTGGTAAACATATACAAAAAAACATCATGGAACATCACCATGTTCTATGGGTAAATCAACTATTTCTATGGGTCATTTTCAATAGCTATGTTAAATTACCAGAGGGTACAATCTTAGTACTAATTACCCTCTGGTTATTTAACATAGCCATGGAAAATGGCCCATTTATAGATTGTTTACCTATTAAAAATGATTATTTTCCATGGCTATGTTAAATAACCAGATGGTAATACTAAACATCATTAATTTCTTGTGGGTCCATGAAGGTCTCAACATTTTGACCCATACCCATCGCACATCATCGCACCTCGACTGCCGCCGAATGGTCTTTGCGGAAGCTGCCGGTTTGCTGAAACTGCCGATGTTGGCAAATCCTCAATGCCAAGGACAAACTGTGAAGCATCCGCTGGAAGCTGACCAAAAAAAATCCAGCGGAGCTGTCTTAACTTTGGCAGTATGGTGAGCATCCCCAAAAAAACGGTTTGCTTCGCTCATGATAAGTTGCCAGATAGTTGCCCAAAGTAAACAGAGCATACTTCAGCTGCGTAAACTGTTGCAAACTCAGGCAAGAATCCAAATCAGAGCTCTCTGAGCAAACAGCAACCAATGAAGTGTACTTGGTGACGACTTGGAATTCTGTACCTTGGCGAGAGATGGACATGTTGACATGTTGCGACTCTGGGGTTCTGATTCGGAAGAATAAGATCAAGACAAATACGAGTCGATGTGACTCATGCAAATAATACCAAATATAATATGACACAACTACGTAAGTATGATATTCAATCTTATAAGTAGTTAATAAATATCAAACTTGAAAAGCGCACAATGATACTAATACAATTTTGACAACGAAAGCTCATGAGATACAAATGGCATACATCAGGTTGTATCAATGCAAAAGATGCTATCGCACGAAGAAGTCTCTTCACAGTATTTCCAAGCTGGGGAGAGTAAGCAACAAAACTCTCATGGCCAAAGTCCAAACTCGCAAATGCAAAACCTGTTCAAAATCCCGGCGATCGAAGTAGCTCACAAACTGAAACATCGAAAATAACCTCTCTCTGGACACCCATGGAAAACCAGTAGCATCCAGTCCAGACCACTAGGAGAAAATCTGGAGTAGGAATTCAGAAATCAAGAGTTGAAAGTGGAAGAGTTCCGAAAGACGTCCTAAATCTTCTTAAAACCAGGATTTTGTTTCCAACATTTTCCAACACCAAAATGCCCTCTGCGCCATTTCTGCGAGTAAGACTTCATTTATCATGAACCAAAATCAATCTAAAAATCCATCTTTCCAACATTCCACAACCACAAAAACCAAACTTTTGTACAGCACCTAGGCACCTAGGCACCTCGCGCCTCACGGCTTGTCTCCACAGTTTTAATGTCGGGAAACTGAGGCCCCAGCCCAAGCGGATGATCCGATCTTGGCAACGCTTCGCCTCCTCCGTCCCGATCGGCAGGTCCTTCATGGCATCATCGATCAGGGCCTGCCAAGGAACCATTGAAACCCCATGGGTTTTTACAGGTTTCTTTGCACCAAAAATGGCTGATGAAACACGGGATCTTCATGAAAAGCTTCTGGAAGATGTTCTTCCCAGCACAGTTAAACTGAATGATACCGACCAATCACCAATCTCTTATTTCATGGTCAACAGATATCAAAGATGGTATGGTCGTGGTATATACTCATCAGTCCAAGAATGGAAATCCAGCCACATCATGTGTAGGATGTTTCATCCCTGTTACTGGATTGTTGACCATCCCCTGATATTTTTGTACAGTATTCAATGGGAATTTCAGGATCCTAGAATGGAGGTACTGTACCATATAAGGCCATATTTTGTGGGGATTCCCTTACATAGGCCTTACATAGGCCTTATATATGGTAGGTACCTCCAATTTAGGTTCCTAAAATGGCCATTAAAGTATCCAATCCAACTTTTGACTTTGGGAATTGTCTATGGCCTCAACTTATGGCCATAAAAACATTGGGAAATCACATGTACACTGAAGGGGATTCTGGGGTCCGTACCCCAACGTTTTTAAGCGATGATGGATCCACAAAACAGTACACAATTATCTAAATTGCTACTGATTAATCATGTTTTATCTTCATAAGCGCAAATTGTGGGAGGGCAACACATTTTGACAAAAAAATGGATGAGTCTTCAACAATACAACAAATATACATAAAACTGGATGGTTTACCATCAAAAAACAACGCCTTCCCGACGACGCTCTGCAGAACCCGAGAACGCTGGAGGTGCTGCACTGGTAAGGCAATGCACTCGCTGTGACCGTCGTTGTTGTGGAAGCGCAACTGAAGTGAGTCGCCTCCCGAAGTTCATGGGGGGTTCTTATCAAAGATAGGGATAACTGTACCAAGCGTACCAACTATACTACGTAGTAGTCAATATTATCAATATTACCATTGTCAATGATTAATAATATATGTATGTTAATATACTTCATATCATACATGATATCATTATATATCATTAATATGTCAACCCGGATTAACAAGATCTGGTTGATTAAGGGCCTGGGGGGTCCCCCCAAATAGTGAGTTCATCTGCTACTCAAATGGGACCGGAAAAACAGCCCAAAGGTTTGTCAATCCCAGAATCCTGCGGTTGACATCCCATTAATTGTGGGATATCATCGCTAGTACATGGTAGTACAAATCAATGAACTACAGTAGCTGGTATAACACCCCCTAAAACAACTAACATCAACTAACAAGGGTGTTTTCAGTCATTCACCTCTTTCCACCAAGCCAAATCACGATGAACCATTGGGACACAGTTTTCTTTTGACGTATGGGCTGCAAAATTCATGTGGATAGAAACTCTATGTCTCTAAAACTCTCTAGACATCAAGGATCAACAAATCAACCTACTGATAAGGAAGGCGAAAATCATAAAACATAGAAAATCATAGGAAATCATAGAAAATCGTAGAAAAAACACTTTGATTTTCGCAAACAAATCCCATCAACCTGGCGAAAACCAATATGATGACTTGATTCATGATTCGTATAAAATGCAATTTCACTTTTAATTAATTCTTTAACGCGTTGATAGCGCTCTATATCTTGAAAAAATTCACTGAGCGTCACAGTTTGACTGGATTTTTTATTAAATGCCGTGTATTGATCCGAAACCTGTCGCGCCACAGTTAATTCATGGGTTTCGGTGACACGCCCAAGCAAAACAATGTGTGCAGGGTTGATGGTGGAGGTTTTTCTTGAAACTTGATCTTGATTGAATCGTTCGATCGCTTGCAATGTAGCCAGCCCTGAGCCCAATCCTTTTAATTCAATGTTAGCCAACAATGGAAATTGATTGTTTTTTATTCTATTTGCATTGGTCACCGCAATCAATTCAAGAAATTCATACAAGGTAGGTATGCGATAGTCTTCAGAAGAATACCCATCAGGTATAGAATAAGGGGTTGTTAGCACAGTCAACTGCTGCACATACTCAACGCTTCTTAATTCATCAAATCTTAATTTATCTTTGGCTTTGCTATCTTTGGGTTTGCCGATTTTTGTTGCTATTTCGATAAAAGCATGATCGACAACACAATAATTCTCTGCAATAGGACCATGTGCTAGAATTGCATAGCCATCTGCTGTGACATGTATATCGCATTCTATGGCATGCCCACCATATTTATCGCTTGCATCAAATTGCTGAATAGCCGCTTTCGCAGCTGCCAAGGTATTTTCTGGCCACCCAATGGGTTTGGCATTCACCCCTCTGCCTCGATGCGCCGTGATACGTGGCCCTTGCAAATCAAACAGTTGTTTTTGGCTTAAACCATTAACAAGTTTCTCAAAATCTTCTGGGCTCATATTGCATATCCTATTATGCAACTCAGTCATTCCCAATTGATTTTTTTTCTCTTCGTAATTTTGCAGGTAATGAGATCATTTGCTCCACTAAACTTTGGCGCCCAATTCGTTGCATCATGGTTCAGCATAGTGATTCTCTCTGTAATAATGATACCGTTGGTAATTTTGCTGGTTTCGCTTATATAAAAGCTCATCAGTACTACTTATTAAATAGCAGACCAGCAAGGCCCCAACAGGGACTGCTCAGCTATCATAGCGTCTTCAATCGGCATTGCGGTAGACTCTACCGCATCCATTGGTAGTGCGCCTGTCTCGGTCTGGCATTCACTGGAGATGCAAGCTGACTCGGCCTTGTGTCTGTACAATTTGCCTTGTCAACTTTATTCTCCCAGCCAACTTGACTGTGGAATGAACTCAGAACCCTGCGACACCACACACGCAGCTCCTCTGGATGACGATCACCAAAGTCAAAGCCAAGGCACCCCATCCCTTACCAAGCTGCTGTTTTTGGGACACCTAAGTAGTCCATCAGCAGTTTGCGGGAACTCCAGATCTATTGCGTATGATTGCCGTATTGTTCTTCAGCATACTAATGAACTGTGCGTTCCAAAGTTGGAACTTTTACGAAGCCAAGCCATCTAGGGCTTTATTGCTATGTGCACTGTTCAGATCGTGCAATTCTTCAATAGACATTCAGCTGTATTGAATGTTTCGACATATGATGTCTCATCAGTATTGATGCTTGTAATGTTATCAGACTACAAAATTTGAGTCAATACTTTTTAATGACCGTTATCGTAATAAATTCCAAATAAAACTTGTATACGCAACATAGTATAACAACAGTTATCGGTAAAGAAATCACAACTTAACGCTGTAATTTCAGGGTTTACCGTTTACCCCTCTTTGGCAAAAGAGGGGCTGCCGCAGGCAAAGCAAGTGGGGAAATTCCCAATTAAGGCTTAAGCTTCGACTTGATTGTTTGTTCTAGCTCGCTTGCTGCCCTGGGTTTATCCGTCTCGACACAAGAAAATTTTCGAAAATTGGACCAAGCAAAACAGCCCATTAAAGATGGCGATGCTTGTAATTCATTCTCATCAGACTCCAAGGTCTCTGATTCCAATTTCTCAGGAAACTCTCTTATCATTCATACCCGCCACCCGAAATGGATTTAAGCAACTGAAAACAGAAGAAACAGTCGAACAAGGCGTATTTGGTGACCGACAGGCAATTGAGCCCGGAGTCGTGTCGCTGTGAAAAGGCGTATGCGATAGCTGAGAGCCAGTTGAATTCGGAGTTGTGCTCCTTGACAATATGCTTTCGGGTGGTTTATTCGTTTCTTTAATACCCTCCTGGGAAGAAGTAGAACAACCCCATATGACCAAAGGTTTAGATTCTGGCTCTTCTCTTCTAATCCACGGAGACATAAAAAATTAAAGGACCGGATAACCCCACATTACATGTTACCAACTTCTTTAGACTTAGACTGAGCATAGCAAAGCAAGAAGGGAAGAGGAAGTATAAGAGTGATGGAGCGGTGATGGTGGGTGAGTTTGTGTGTATGTATGTATGTTCATGTACAGTGAGTGAGTGAGTGAGAGTGTGAGTGAGTGATGTGAGTGTGGTGTGTGTGAGTGAGGGATGTGAGAGTGAGTGAAGTGAGTGAAGTGAAGTGAAGTGAAGCGAAGCGAAGCGAAGCGAAGTGAAGTGAGTGAGTGAGTGAGTGGTGAGTGAGGTAGGTGAGGTAGGTGAGGTAGGTGAGGTAGGTGAGGTAGGTGAGGTAGGTGAGGTAGGTGAGGTAGGGGAGGTAGGTGAGGTAGGTGAGGTAGGTGAGGTAGGTGAGGTAGGTAGGTAGGTGAGGTAGGTGAGGTAGGTGAGTGAGGGGGGGGGGAGGGAGAGTGAGTGAGTGAGGGAGGGAGGAGGTGAGGGAGTGTGAGGGAGTGTGAGGGAGTGTGAGGGAGTGTGAGGGAGTGTGAGGGAGTGTGAGGGAGTGTGAGGGAGTGTGAGGGAGTGTGAGGGAGTGTGAGTGAGTGTGAGTGAGTGTGAGTGAGTGTGAGTGAGTGAGTGAGTGTGAGTGAGTGAGTGTGAGTGAGTGTGAGTGAGTGAGTGAGTGAGAGTGAGAGTGAGAGTGAGAGTGAGAGTGAGAGTGAGAGTGAGAGTGAGAGTGAGAGTGAGAGTGTGAGTGTGAGTGTGAGTGTGAGTGTGAGTGTGAGTGTGAGTGTGTGTGTGTGAGTGAGTGAGTGAGTGAGTGAGTGAGTGAGTGTGTGTCTGTGCCACAGTGTGTGTGTGTGTGAGTGAGGTGAGTGAGGAGGAGGACCACGCCTGCCACGCAAAAGAAGCGGAGACCCAGGGACGCCAGCGGAACCCCGGGGCGTACATCCGACCCCTTGGCAGTGCACATTGTCCCACGCCTGCCACGCAAAAGACCCTTGGCAGTGCACATTGTCCCACGCCTGCCACGCAAAAGAGGCGGAGACCCAGGGACGCCAGCGGAACCCCGGGGCGTACATCCACATTGTCCCACGCCTGCCACGCAAAAGAGGCGGAGACCCAGGGACGCCAGCGGAGCCCCGGGGCGTACATCCCACCCCTTGGCAGTGCACATTGTCCCACGCCTGCCACGCAAAAGAGACGGAGACCCAGGGACGCCAGCGGAACCCCGGGGCGTACATGACCCCTTGACAGTGCACATTGTCCCACGCCTGCCACGCAAAAGAGTGAGTGAGTGAGTGAGCTAGCGGAGCGAGGGAGGGAGGGAGGGAGGGAGTGAGTGAGTGAGTGTTGTGAGAGAGGAGGACGGGGGGCGGAGGCGGAGGAGGAGGAGGAGGAGGAGGAAGGCGGATACAGAACTAAAAACAAAAACCCCACACGTCAATGTGGGGAAATATCTAGTGCTTTCATAGCTCACTATAGGCTTTAAATGCTCTGGAACTTGGTCTTTTAATTTCTCATCAACAAACAAAAACCTTTGTTTTCTATCCAAGTCAATATCAAACCTACCGAAGGGGGGCAGATCGGGCAAGCTGTCCAAGGTGATATTGCAACTGCAATCGAGCTGTTTAATATTCTTAAATTCGCGTAAATTAGGCAAGATTTCTAATTTATTATCCTCCAAATCTAAGTCCTTTAACGTCTTCGCCAATGCATTAAAATCATCTGGCGAGTGCGACAGCTCACTTTCAGAAAGATCCAATGCTCTAAGTTGCCTAAGCTGGGAAAACACCCCCTCGGGTATCGATTCAAGTTCTTGTCCGGATAAATTGAGGTCGACTAAACGATGACACCGTTTCAAAATTTCCATTTTTTTTATATCTGCTATCGTTGCGTTTAAACAATTTAGCCAAATTTACGGTTTCATCGCCTGATGCATTTAATATATCCAGGGTTTGCAATTGCTCTTCAGATAGACCAAGAAACGAATCTATATCACTCACGTTATTCATTGCCAATTCCACTACTTTGTTTATTAAAAATTTTTTGTTTCACTATCAAAAGATTTATGACACCTGCTTTAATAGCTATTCTTTATAAGAACTGGATTAACGCACCAGCATAGAAACACTTATGCGAATGATCTTATAGCAGTTTTTAAAAATTCAGATTGAGCTTAAAATATATCATCTTTATTTATTGAAAAGAAAGGCTTTTGTCTTAAAAAAATCACACCATCAAAAAGCCCGCTGGTTTCGCTTATTTAAAGCTCATCAGTGCCACTAAACTTGTAGCAGACCAGCGAGCCCCACAGGGACTGCGCAGTCGTTGGAGATCAAATCGAACTGCTGGCGCTTTTCAAGTTCGCATGGCTTTGCTCGCCACCCGCCACGTACCACATGGCGGAGTAGCGCTGAACTGCTTGCCACCGAAATGCCGCCAGCAAACAATCATCACAGCGCTGGGATGATATCAAAGACCCATTCGGGAGTGGCTCAGCATAAAGTCACTGACTTCGTGTTGCTGACCGAACAAGAATGGCCTCAGCATATTCTCCACAGCAGAATCTGTCCAGCTTACCTGCAAACTTCACAGGCCAATTTCTGTCCAGCAGCAAATACGGATCGACTTTGTATGAGGGCATAAGTGTGCACTGTACAAGAGCCACCCTGCATAAACCCCAATTATCTCTGCCTACAGGCATAAGATCTAGCCGGTGGGCAAAAATGTGCTAGTGGTCGACTCGACCCTAGCATGGCGTGCCCTGAACCGCATATTGCTGCTTCAATCACACTAAGCCTGTCTGGGCCAGAAGTAGTGCCTCCCCACCCGTCAACAGGCTTTGGTTGCTTAAAGTGCCTAGGCACTTTATGGCAGTGTGCGTGGCTCAGTCTTGGTCCATGTTGATTGCACACTGTTCTTCTCTGTCTTCACCAACGAAACCCTGCTGTTCCTCTGGAACATCGAAAGTCAGGCATCTAAGGCCTTTTAACTTAGTACTGTTTCAGATCGTGCAATCTTCAATAGACACCCACCTATTGAGTGTTTCGACATAATGTCTAATCAGTATTGAAGCGAACAAACAATAACAACATTACATTCAAGGGTCAAAGGATTCAGTGGACAAGGGTTTGGGTATGCAATGGGTGTATGTACTCAAAACACTGGGTGGCTTAACAAACATCAAAACGAAAATAAGTCGACCCCCGCCCCCTTCCACGCCTAGGCCTTGACCACCTTTGACCACCGCTGCCAGCACAACCCGCTGCCCACAGCATGGCACACCCAGTCGTGCTCTCCCGGCTGTCGCACGTCCCGATTGGTGGGGTCCTGGAGACGAACATCGCCGAAAGGTCCGCTCTTCAGCGCCAGATTTCCCGGTACAAATGGCCACAACTGAGGACTATAGTTCCCAATTTTTCTATATTTTTCTCAAATCTCCATAAGAATCTATGTGGGCAATAGAAATATCAACTTCAATTCCATTCTAGATATCATCAATTAGCAATTTTTTCCCAATAGAAATTCCGATTTCTTGATGGAAAACGCCTGTTTTCTCGGAGGGTTTAGCCATGCCTGGCCTCGGCCACGTGGAGCCAGAGCACTGGGGGAGACTTCTTCCAGCCGGCCGGACCACTCCACCTGAGTCTAATGGATCTTGCTATGTAACAATGTACTTATTTTGTAAGTGCTTCCATCATCCCATATCTATATACTTATTAATACTTACTATGTAGTTTACTATTAATATAGTTTATATTTATATATAGTAACTATATAGTTATATACATGGATATTTATATATATAGACATGGATATGAATTAGTTATTCTTGAATATCCAGTGAGACAATGTATACTCTATCACTGTACCCGGCGCCTGCGTGAGCCTTGGAGGACATCCACGCCTGAGTCCACGCTGATTTGGTTCGTGGATTTTGGATGTTTTTATGGCTTTGAAAATCAACCAGGCCAGAAATCCAATGGCTTATTTTTTATTTGATTCACCACCAAACATTGTTTTTTATGGCTTTAAATGTGGTAAATCTATGTAAATCTAATAATAAACCATCCCCAAGAGCACCATGAAGTACCATTTCTATGGGTGGGTTGTATAAACTATCCCCAAATTCCAGTTACTTGTTTATGGCATTAGGATGCATTAGGTTTATATGCTTTATACGTTATATGTCTTGATACGGTTTTATGTGTTCGAAATCATGATTAATTTGTTTCATCGTCCAAACAAAACACACGAAAACCAGTTTGACATTCCAATATTCTTAATGGGATGGAATAACTACAAACGAATGCTGGAAAGAAACACCAATTAACTTCAAGTTGTTCATCCCTTTCAACACTTAACTTGTTGACATCTTTGCAGTCAGGTCGCATGGCTCTTGTCAGCTGCCGGATGACTGTCCTTTGTTTGTGCGCGTGAAACATGACTTCTCGCATCCCAGTTGTTTCCACATTCAAAGTTATAGTCATCCCTGAAGTGGAAAAATGGACATCACCACCAAATTAGTAAACTTATTAGGGACTAATGGACTAACATAAACATCTCCAAGCGTCGGTTCTAATTCTGCTGCCCCCAGCACAAAATCCGCTGCACCACGGCCATTCTCGGCAATGCCTTCAACCAAAGCGTGGGAAACGCCTCCTCCAAAACCCACCTTAGCTGTTGGCCAAGCTGTGAATTTGATCATCTTTTCTTATGCCAACAGTGATTTAATTCATTGATGGATCCGTCGATGGATCCATTGATGGATCAAACTTCAAAATTCAAAGGATGCTTCAAAATGGCCGATTTTCTGCGGTTTCAGTTCCCGTGGATCCGTCCAATTTGTCCATATCTGACATCCAAAATATGAAGGCCTTCATACGATAGATTAACCATCCTATTAAACCAACCATTGATGGTTTATACCATAGAAAAATTGCAGAAATCTATGCAGAAAGCTATGTATCGATGCATGGAACTGGCTCCAACTGAGGACTGAGTTCCAGACAGTGTAGACCTCCGTATGGCTGGGCAAAGATGCTACCAGCTTCATCACTTCTTGGGTGTTTGAGACTTGGCCATCCGTAAGCCTGGGCTTCCAAAGGATAACCATCAGCGAGGATCGTGGACCAACAAAGTTCAGGTGTTTTTTGGGGACTCAAAAAACACACATGGTAGGTGATAGGGGAGGCAACAATGACACATTTTGTGGAGTGAAATGAATTTGCTGCGACTGCGGAGATACTCAGACTCAACAAACACTGAAAGCCTCGTGTCCTTTTGATCCCACGAAATCACAAGAAATCCCAACGCGGCCGCAGCACAATATTACTCGACGTTGGTAGCCAGCGGGTACAACACGTTCTCGAACATGCTTCAGGGGCTGAAGCAGCTCAGTACCTATGGAAAACTACTGGAAAACCCTTGGAAACATCATGGAAATGCCTCAGGGCCTGGTCCGTCCAATCAGGTCCACATCTTTTGAGATGTCATTGGATTTCAAAACATCTGAGACTAAAGGGCTTTGCACAACATTGCACGACTGGCCAACCCGCACAAGTAGTCACAAGTAATCTTACACCACAGCTTCAATACTGATCGTCAAAGCTGAGATCTTGTCCTCCCATGTCTGCTTGGACAAACTTCACATGTTTGCTGGCCTGCCAAGACTTGCTAAAGAATCAGGAACAAACATTTGAAGACATTGTGGGTTTGCCAAAAAAATGGGAATACCACCCCAAACTCGGAAAGTGATTTTTTTTGCACCTCCCTGATTTTCAAACAAACCCATTTAAGTGAACATCATGGTGAGGTCGGGGTCGCTCTCCTTGTTGAGGGATTTCTCGTCGTAGACCACACTGGCCTCAAACAACGACCTGGCCGGGTCGATCTGGGTCACGATCAGTGGACCGGGCGCCCTGGCTGCCCTGGTGACACATCTGTGACATTCTGTGACTAAGTAGAAATGTGATGCTTTCGAATCTTCCTATAGTTATAGTCCCATTATGGAATGTTCTGGATAGTTATGATACTTTTGGATCTTCATCTCCAGCAAATCTTTTGAAAAACATCGCTTTCCACTCCAAAGAAACGGGTCAAACTCCCCAACTATAGCCATTGACTTGGCCGGCTGACCGTGTTCCTGGCCGTGCACGGTTCGCCGACCCGGTTGGACGGCCGACCGTGTTCCTGGCCGTGCACGGTTGGCCGACCCAGTTGGCCGGCTGACCGTGTTCCTGGCCGTGCACGGTTGGCCGGCCCAGTTGGCCGGCTGACCGTGTTCCTGGCCGTGCACGGTTCGCCGACCCGGTTGGACGGCCGACCGTGTTCCTAGCCGTGCACGGTTGGCCGACCCGGTTGGGGCCGAACACGGTTGGCCGACCCGGTTGGCCGGCCGACCGTGTTCCTGGCCGTGCACGGTTGGCCGACCCGGTTGGCCGGCCGGCCGTGTTCCTGGCCGTGCACGGTTGGCCGACCCGGTTGGCCGGCCGACCGTGTTCCTGGCCGTGCACGGTTGGCCGACCCGCGGCCGGCCGACCGTGTTCCTGGCCGTGCACGGTTGGCCGACCCGGTTGGCCGGCCGGCCGTGTTCCTGGCCGTGCACGGTTGGCCGACCCGGTCGGCCGGCCGACCGTGTTCCTGGCCGTGCACGGCTGGCTTGCACGGTTGATAGGTTCAAGATTGGGATGGTGACAAAGAAAAGAAAGCAATTGGCAATAAGGGCATAAGAAGAGTAAGAGCATCATGCAATGGAGAGGCACGAGAAGAAAAGCGTGAAGAGAGAAAGAAAAAGAAGACGAAGTAGCCGCTAGAAAATGAATGGTTTACAATGACCAAAGGACAATGTGTAGTAAGAGTATATGATGATTGTTACAAGTTAAACGAAATAAGTTGATAAAACCGTATTATACTTAACATACCCTAGTTTGATGGGCAGGAGGCGGGGCCTATGTAGCGGTGCAACCGGTGGTGATCAATAGATTTGGTCGCGGCTATAACCGACTTGCAGGTGGTGCGATCGGTGGTGCCTCAGCATTTCCCTTATCTGGACATGAACCACAGACCATAACCAGACCAGAACCAGACCGGAAACGGACCAGACCCGATCGGAACCGGATCGGAACCGGATCGGACACAGATCGGGAGCGGATCGGAAGCGGATCGGAACACTTGATGCAGGAAGCATCAGAATCGAGAAATCATGTCACACATCGGACAATCATTCTATACAGTGGCAGCCAAACCTGAGCGCATTACGTTCTTCGTCGTGCAGCCCAATGCCCCTTGCCAATTTGGCGGTGGGCAAGGTGGCTCTGCCTTTTTGGATGCCTCTTGGTTCATCTCCCACGAATGTTGTCCCGACTCTGTCGTCACAGTCGTGTCTTTCGTTCTAAAGACCGCCTGCCTCACTTTCCCTCATAAGCTATCCAAGTCGGAAGTCCATCCTCCGTGCCATATACGAGGAGAAGCTTTTCGTCCGGACGGCCTGGAAAGTTGAAACAATCTCGAACAAAACAACATATAGTATGCATTTGAAGATAAGTCACAGTTATTCTAAGGAAAGTTTCTGAATTCACAACTTGGCCGGCCTGTTGAACTGCACTGATTACATAAATATTGAGAGACACCATTCGTCTCATTCATGAACACGTACTGGAAAGCGTATCCTGAGCAGCTTCACAGACTAATATGCAGGTTTTTCAGACTAAGTCAAGTTCATTCAATCTGAGCCCAGCGCCTTTTTCGTAGGCTCTTTTCGTCCCGATCTGAAACGAAATCACTCGTCTGGACTCAGCCTGAGAAACAGTAGGCTCAGCAGTAACATCGCAAATTTGTTCAATCAACTAGCTATGTCCTGTTGAAATCAATCAAAGTTCAAACCCTAAGTTCGCCGCCTCTGACAAAGTAGCAGGAAGCACCTAAAACAACAGCATCAATGAATCAGTCAAAGACTCTAAGACGACTCTTGTGCGACAGTCTAACTTCAACATGACTCACACTGAGTCTGGCGCAGCGACAGCACTTTCTTCGGTCCTGCCATCAGTGGCACCAGCGTCAGTGACAGACATCTCCTTGTCGACCTCAATTGTGAGAGTCAGCTATATATTCAGGACCAGGGTCAGTAAACTTGGATTGTCTGAGTCACTAGCTGCAATGTTGATTCGCGACCCAACGGGAGCTGAAAGATTGAGCCAGACACTCTTCCAAACACACTCACATTGACAAGCCAAGTTGACTCAAGAACTAAACCTAACTCCAAGTGCATTGCACAAATCTAACTCTGCAGTCAAGTCTCAAGTTTACAAATGGTGAGTTGTTCATCAGGCGATCACTTTTCAACTTCACACTGTCCAACGCTGTATTTGAAAAATTGGGATGCTGTAATATGACGAGTGGAGCCTGCCCTGGCAGTGCACTTGACAGGGGGAATCAATCAATGCACACTAAATGGCATATCATCCCACACAGTCCTGGCCGGGCCTTGACAGGGGGAATCAGCGCACACCAATGGCATAACATATCATCCCACACAGTCCTGGCCTTGACAGTGGGAATCAGTGCACACCAATGGCACATCATCGTCACACTCAGTTGTCATTGGCCAGAGATGCACTATAGTTCCAAGACATTGAAATCCACTTCTGCCGTGATTAACATACCGTGAAGAAACCCTCCATCGGTTAACAGACACATTGCACATCGCTCTGGTATTTTGTGATTGTGGCCACACCGATAGAGTGATCGCAGGGCAGTTCGATCCCAACAAAAGTTTCTTTCAACACCCAAAGCACCTGGAGCAACACAGGGCCCCTATTATTGTGTCACTGGCCCATAACAAATACAAGGTGAATGTGTCATAATCACAAAGAACAACAAAATCAAACTATTTTTCTCCAAGTTAAACAGCTAGTTAGTTTAGTGACTTGTGTCTGCAGGTGAAACTTCTGAAAGTGAGTGCAGTGACTGACCAGCTGAGCTCTTGGATGACTAAGTCAATTAAGCACTACCTAAATCAAACTGAAAAGTTGCTTCATTCTTACTGCTGCTGGTCCACACTAAAGTCTATGCGCATCACTACTCACTCATTCAGTCATTTTCACGTTGTCGAGTTCAGTGATGATGTTGGCATGGCTGACCCATGAATAAGTGGAATCAGAATCACCCAAGCAGAGATCCCAGTCGGAGAGGACGTAGCTGTGCATCCCTTCCATCCAAAAGGCAGCCTTTGTTTTGCTCTGTGGAAAAAGCAAAGTCAGTTCGACCTCTTCACCAGACTCAGAATCACCTTTGGAGCTCATCACTGCCAACCACATGATCCACCATCCTGATTGCCTGTCCCTTTGTAGGACATAGCAAAGTGACAAAGCAACATTCTTCAACGATTCAATTCCCAGTGTTGTCAGCACTGGTTGCAAGACACCGGACTTCTCAGTGTCTTCAAGCAGGATTCTGTCCGATGTCCAAAGCTTGTCTGATATGTACACAACATGGAATTCCTCGCGCCGTTTCTTGAAGACCACAGTTTCTGGCGTTGGTTCTGATTCTGATTTGATCGGCATCATTATTGTCAGTGAGAAAGATTCTGGTCCTTGCTCAAGATGAAACAACTCTTCGGGCTCCAATTGAATTGCAAATCTACTTGACTGGACTTGAATTGAAACGCCTCTGACTGAAATCAATCGAGCAAAACCATTTCAAGCTTCTGCTGATGCTGTTGCTTGAACTATTGACTAACAGTAACTGACTGACAGTGACAGTGATGCTCATGCAATGGTCGAGCCTGCAGTTAGAGCGTCCGGTTGAGTTCAATATAATACCTGCAGCTGACTTGACACTTGGAATCAAAATTCAATTGTCGACAAATAAATCAAACAGAATTCAAGTCCTGTGTGAACCGCCAATAATAATGCATATTGTATCAAAGACGCAGGCCAAACTATCAAATAATAAGTAATAATAGTATGAAGAGATATACTTAGGTCCAATGCCTCACAAACAACAGTCTGAGACCAAGCCTTGGCATTTGACAATTGTTTGTCATAACTAATCCTCAGTCAGTGAGTGAGGCAATAACCAAGATAGCAACAATGGAAATGGGCCATGATTCACAATCAATTGTCAATCAAACGAAAAAATCAAGCGCGGCAGCAATAATGTTTTAGATTACTGAAGCTAATAATGTGCTAAGGCCCCGACTTGTTTTGATCGACCAAAACCTCACTCAGTGATTGAAGGATTTTGTCACCATTGTCCATGACAGTGCTTCAAACTCAACATCAATGTTATTGATTGCATTTTGACTCATTGACTGACTGATTCAATTCAAGTAATGACAGCTGAGAATCTGTCTGTCAGTTAGAGTCCTTTTTTTGGCACTGCAGCGCTGTCATTGACTGGTCCGCAAGTCACAATGAATGCGGCATATCATTCAATCCACTAAATCGGAGCTCAGCCGTTTTTTTTTGAGTTCCTCGTTGTTCCGTAATTGGTTTTTGAATCAAAATCAGCAACCCACAGATTGAGGAAACATTCGTTCTTCTCGCTCAATGCCTCTATGAAGAAGACCAAACTCTGCAGCATGTTCGCGATCCGATCTGCAAATTGTGCCACTTGTTGCTCCGGCAACAGATTGCAATTTTTTTGCAGTGGAGCAGGCATGACAGTGACTTGCAGAAGTCCATGTGGAATGGGATCGTCCTTCCCAAATTTACTCAAATCACTGACTGAAAAATCAATGGTCTCAAGGACCACTGCACCTTTGAAGTGATCAGTGAATGGGAACTGTTGGCCTGAACTTGGAACGACGTGCAGGCAGCCATCGATAAAAGCATTCATCTTGAGCCATCCATACTCTTTCAAAGCCTGAGTGTCAAAAGCATTTCTTTGTTGCTTGAACCAGTCGACGAAAGCTTGACCTTTCACAGGACACCTCCGCAAATGGCGCCTGGTTTGCATCACATTGACTTGACTGCTTTGAATGTATGCATTCACCCATTGACAATCGCGCAGAAACTCTTCAAGCAATTTCTGTTGTGTCAACAGAGACAGTTTTAAATCAATAATACGTTTGCTCTTGCTCAAAGATGTCAGCCATTTGTCTGAAGGCATCTTGGTTGGATCTGCTGGTGACACTGGGCTCAAATCAATTGCACTCAATGCCTCCCTGATGGTTGTTTCAAACTCCACAATGTCTGACAACAAAACTGTCAAAAAACCCACCTGCTCTTTCCGGGCATGCGGAGACGGAAAAAATGACCAGCACGCCAACATTTCTGAAGTTCGCTTTGCACCCAGACTCTCAACGTGCATGTCCACCATTTTTCCCATTTTTTTGGCTGCCGTCAGTGAATCAGCAGATTCGGGTTTGGGATGTGTGCGTTTGGTTCCCCGCCATGATGATTGAATCACTCTGCCCGGTCGATCATCAGACACTGGTGCTGAATCACTGACACACGGGGCGGATTGAATCGGTCGATCATCAGACACTGGTGCTGAATCACTGACACACGGACCTGAGCGCATTACGTTCTTCGTCGTGCAGCCCAATGCCCCTTGCCAATTTGGCGGTGGGCAAGGTGGCTCTGCCTTTTTGGATGCCTCTTGGTTCATCTCCCACGAATGTTGTCCCGACTCTGTCGTCACAGTCGTGTCTTTCGTTCTAAAGACCGCCTGCCTGACGTGGAACTTTGATGTTTCTTCATCCCACTTTCCCTCATAAGCTATCCAAGTCGGAAGTCCATCCTCCGTGCCATATACGAGGAGAAGCTTTTCGTCCGGACGGCCTGGAAAGTTGAAACAATCTCGAACAAAACAACATATAATCATTTGAAGATAATTCTAAGGAAAGTTTCTGAATTCACAACTTGGCCGGCCTGTTGAACTGCACTGATTACATAAATATTGAGAGACACCATTCGTCCCATTCATGAACACGTACTGGAAAGCGTATCCTGAGCAGCTTCACAGACTAATTGATTTATTCGACCTCGACATATGCAGGTTTTTCAGACTAAGTCAAGTTCATTCAATCTGAGCCCAGCGCCTTTTTCGTAGGCTCTTTTCGTCCCGATCTGAAACGAAATCACTCGTCTGGACTCAGCCTGAGAAACAGTAGGCTCAGCAGTAACATCGCAAATTTGTTCAATCAACTAACTATGTCCTGTTGAAATCAATCAAAGTTCAAACCCTAAGTTCGCCGCCTCTGACAAAGTAGCAGGAAGCACCTAAAACAACAGCATCAATGAATCAGTCAAAGACTCTAAGACGACTCTTGTGCGACAGTCTAACTTCAACATGACTCACACTGAGTCTGGCGCAGCGGCAGCACTTTCTTCGGTCCTGCCATCAGTGGCACCAGCGTCAGTGACAGACATCTCCTTGTCGACCTCAATTGTGAGAGTATATATATTCGGGACCAGGGTCAGTAAACTTGGATTGTCTGAGTCACTAGCTGCAATGTTGATTCGCGACCCAACGGGAGCTGAAAGATTGAGCCAGACACTCTTCCAAACACACTCACATTGACAAGCCAAGTTGACTCAAGAACTAAACCTAACTCCAAGTGCATTGCACAAATCTAACTCTGCAGTCAAGTCTCAAGTTTACAAATGGTGAGTTGTTCATCAGGCGATCACTTTTCAACTTCACACTGTCCAACGCTGTATTTGAAAAATTGGGATGCTGTAATATGACGAGTGGAGCCTGCCCTGGCAGTGCACTTGACAGGGGGAATCAATCAATGCACACTAAATGGCATATCATCCCACACAGTCCTGGCCGGGCCTTGACAGGGGGAATCAGCGCACACCAATGGCATAACATATCATCCCACACAGTCCTGGCCTTGACAGTGGGAATCAGTGCACACCAATGGCACATCATCGTCACACTCAGTTGTCATTGGCCAGAGATGCACTATAGTTCCAAGACATTGAAATCCACTTCTGCCGTGATTAACATACCGTGAAGAAACCCTCCATCGGTTAACAGACACATTGCACATCGCTCTGGTATTTTGTGATTGTGGCCACACCGATAGAGTGATCGCAGGGCAGTTCGATCCCAACAAAAGTTTCTTTCAACACCCAAAGCACCTGGAGCAACACAGGGCCCCTATTATTGTGTCACTGGCCCATAACAAATACAAGGTGAATGTGTCATAATCACAAAGAACAACAAAATCAAACTATTTTTCTCCAAGTTAAACAGCTAGTTAGTTTAGTGACTTGTGTCTGCAGGTGAAACTTCTGAAAGTGAGTGCAGTGACTGACCAGCTGAGCTCTTGGATGACTAAGTCAATTAAGCACTACCTAAATCAAACTGAAAAGTTGCTTCATTCTTACTGCTGCTGGTCCACACTAAAGTCTATGCGCATCACTACTCACTCATTCAGTCATTTTCACGTTGTCGAGTTCAGTGATGATGTTGGCATGGCTGACCCATGAATAAGTGGAATCAGAATCACCCAAGCAGAGATCCCAGTCGGAGAGGACGTAGCTGTGCATCCCTTCCATCCAAAAGGCAGCCTTTGTTTTGCTCTGTGGAAAAAGCAAAGTCAGTTCGACCTCTTCACCAGACTCAGAATCACCTTTGGAGCTCATCACTGCCAACCACATGATCCACCATCCTGATTGCCTGTCCCTTTGTAGGACATAGCAAAGTGACAAAGCAACATTCTTCAACGATTCAATTCCCAGTGTTGTCAGCACTGGCTGCAAGACACCGGACTTCTCAGTGTCTTCAAGCAGGATTCTGTCCGATGTTCAAAGCTTGTCTGATACGTACACAACATGGAAATCCTCGCGCCGTTTCTTGAAGACCACAGTTTCTGGCGTTGGTTCTGATTCTGATTTGATCGGCATCATTATTGTCAGTGAGAAAGATTCTGGTCCTTGCTCAAGATGAAACAACTCTTCGGGCTCCAATTGAATTGCAAATCTACTTGACTGGACTTGAATTGAAACGCCTCTGACTGAAATCAATCAAGCAAAACCATTTCAAGCTTCTGCTGATGCTGTTGCTTGAACTATTGACTAACAGTAACTGACTGACAGTGACAGTGATGCTCATGCAATGGTCGAGCCTGCAGTTAGAGCGTCCGGTTGAGTTCAATATATAATACCTGCAGCTGACTTGACACTTGGAATCAAAATTCAATTGTCGACAAATAAATCAAACAGAATTCAAGTCCTGTGTGAACCGCCAATAATAATGCATATTGTATCAAAGACGCAGGCCAAACTATCAAATAATAAGTAATAATAGTATGAAGAGATATACTTAGGTCCAATGCCTCACAAACAACAGTCTGAGACCAAGCCTTGGCATTTGACAATTGTTTGTCATAACTAATCCTCAGTCAGTGAGTGAGGCAATAACCAAGATAGCAACAATGGAAATGGGCCATGATTCACAATCAATTGTCAATCAAACGAAAAAATCAAGCGCGGCAGCAATAATGTTTTAGATTACTGAAGCTAATAATGTGCTAAGGCCCCGACTTGTTTTGATCGACCAAAACCTCACTCAGTGATTGAAGGATTTTGTCACCATTGTCCATGACAGTGCTTCAAACTCAACATCAATGTTATTGATTGCATTTTGACTCATTGACTGACTGATTCAATTCAAGTAATGACAGCTGAGAATCTGTCTGTCAGTTAGTCCTTTTTTTGGCACTGCAGCGCTGTCATTGACTGGTCCGCAAGTCACAATGAATGCGGCATATCATTCAATCCACTAAATCGGAGCTCAGCCGTTTTTTTTTGAGTTCCTCGTTGTTCCGTAATTGGTTTTTGAATCAAAATCAGCAACCCACAGATTGAGGAAACATTCGTTCTTCTCGCTCAATGCCTCTATGAAGAAGACCAAACTCTGCAGCATGTTCGCGATCCGATCTGCAAATTGTGCCACTTGTTGCTCCGGCAACAGATTGCAATTTTTTTGCAGTGGAGCAGGCATGACAGTGACTTGCAGAAGTCCATGTGGAATGGGATCGTCCTTCCCAAATTTACTCAAATCACTGACTGAAAAATCAATGGTCTCAAGGACCACTGCACCTTTGAAGTGATCAGTGAATGGGAACTGTTGGCCTGAACTTGGAACGACGTGCAGGCAGCCATCGATAAAAGCATTCATCTTGAGCCATCCATACTCTTTCAAAGCCTGAGTGTCAAAAGCATTTCTTTGTTGCTTGAACCAGTCGACGAAAGCTTGACCTTTCACAGGACACCTCCGCAAATGGCGCCTGGTTTGCATCACATTGACTTGACTGCTTTGAATGTATGCATTCACCCATTGACAATCGCGCAGAAACTCTTCAAGCAATTTCTGTTGTGTCAACAGAGACAGTTTTAAATCAATAATACGTTTGCTCTTGCTCAAAGATGTCAGCCATTTGTCTGAAGGCATCTTGGTTGGATCTGCTGGTGACACTGGGCTCAAATCAATTGCACTCAATGCCTCCCTGATGGTTGTTTCAAACTCCACAATGTCTGACAACAAAACTGTCAAAAAACCCACCTGCTCTTTCCGGGCATGCGGAGACGGAAAAAATGACCAGCACGCCAACATTTCTGAAGTTCGCTTTGCACCCAGACTCTCAACGTGCATGTCCACCATTTTTCCCATTTTTTTGGCTGCCGTCAGTGAATCAGCAGATTCGGGTTTGGGATGTGTGCGTTTGGTTCCCCGCCATGATGATTGAATCACTCTGCCCGGTCGATCATCAGACACCGGTGCTGAATCACTGACACACGGGGCGGATTGAATCAGTCTGCCCGGTCGATCATCAGACACTGGTGCTGAATCACTGACACACGGACCTGAGCGCATTACGTTCTTCGTCGTGCAGCCCAATGCCCCTTGCCAATTTGGCGGTGGGCAAGGTGGCTCTGCCTTTTTGGATGCCTCTTGGTTCATCTCCCACGAATGTTGTCCCGACTCTGTCGTCACAGTCGTGTCTTTCGTTCTAAAGACCGCCTGCCTGACGTGGAACTTTGATGTTTCTTCATCCCACTTTCCCTCATAAGCTATCCAAGTCGGAAGTCCATCCTCCGTGCCATATACGAGGAGAAGCTTTTCGTCCGGACGGCCTGGAAAGTTGAAACAATCTCGAACAAAACAACATATAGTATGCATTTGAAGATAAGTCACAGTTATTCTAAGGAAAGTTTCTGAATTCACAACTTGGCCGGCCTGTTGAACTGCACTGATTGCATAAATATTGAGAGACACCATTCGTCTCATTCATGAACACGTACTGGAAAGCGTATCCTGAGCAGCTTCACAGACTACAGTAATTGATTTATTCGACCTCGACATATGCAGGTTTTTCAGACTAAGTCAAGTTCATTCAATCTGAGCCCGGCGCCTTTTTCGTAGGCTCTTTTCGTCCCGATCTGAAACGAAATCACTCGTCTGGACTCAGCCTGAGAAACAGTAGGCTCAGCAGTAACATCGCAAATTTGTTCAATCAACTAACTATGTCCTGTTGAAATCAATCAAAGTTCAAACCCTAAGTTCGCCGCCTCTGACAAAGTAGCAGGAAGCACCTAAAACAACAGCATCAATGAATCAGTCAAAGACTCTAAGACGACTCTTGTGCGACAGTCTAACTTCAACATGACTCACACTGAGTCTGGCGCAGCGACAGCACTTTCTTCGGTCCTGCCATCAGTGGCACCAGCGTCAGTGACAGACATCTCCTTGTCGACCTCAATTGTGAGAGTCAGCTATATATTCAGGACCAGGGTCAGTAAACTTGGATTGTCTGAGTCACTAGCTGCAATGTTGATTCGCGACCCAACGGGAGCTGAAAGATTGAGCCAGACACTCTTCCAAACACACTCACATTGACAAGCCAAGTTGACTCAAGAACTAAACCTAACTCCAAGTGCATTGCACAAATCTAACTCTGCAGTCAAGTCTCAAGTTTACAAATGGTGAATTGTTCATCAGGCGATCACTTTTCAACTTCACACTGTCCAACGCTGTATTTGAAAAATTGGGATGCTGTAATATGACGAGTGGAGCCTGCCCTGGCAGTGCACTTGACAGGGGGAATCAATCAATGCACACTAAATGGCATATCATCCCACACAGTCCTGGCCGGGCCTTGACAGGGGGAATCAGCGCACACCAATGGCATAACATATCATCCCACACAGTCCTGGCCTTGACAGTGGGAATCAGTGCACACCAATGGCACATCATCGTCACACTCAGTTGTCATTGGCCAGAGATGCACTATAGTTCCAAGACATTGAAATCCACTTCTGCCGTGATTAACATACCGTGAAGAAACCCTCCATCGGTTAACAGACACATTGCACATCGCTCTGGTATTTTGTGATTGTGGCCACACCGATAGAGTGAACGCAGGGCAGTTCGATCCCAACAAAAGTTTCTTTCAACACCCAAAGCACCTGGAGCAACACAGGGCCCCTATTATTGTGTCACTGGCCCATAACAAATACAAGGTGAATGTGTCATAATCACAAAGAACAACAAAATCAAACTATTTTTCTCCAAGTTAAACAGCTAGTTAGTTTAGTGACTTGTGTCTGCAGGTGAAACTTCTGAAAGTGAGTGCAGTGACTGACCAGCTGAGCTCTTGGATGACTAAGTCAATTAAGCACTACCTAAATCAAACTGAAAAGTTGCTTCATTCTTACTGCTGCTGGTCCACACTAAGTCTATGCGCATCACTACTCACTCATTCAGTCATTTTCACGTTGTCGAGTTCAGTGATGATGTTGGCATGGCTGACCCATGAATAAGTGGAATCAGAATCACCCAAGCAGAGATCCCAGTCGGAGAGGACGTAGCTGTGCATCCCTTCCATCCAAAAGGCAGCCTTTGTTTTGCTCTGTGGAAAAAGCAAAGTCAGTTCGACCTCTTCACCAGACTCAGAATCACCTTTGGAGCTCATCACTGCCAACCACATGATCCACCATCCTGATTGCCTGTCCCTTTGTAGGACATAGCAAAGTGACAAAGCAACATTCTTCAACGATTCAATTCCCAGTGTTGTCAGCACTGGTTGCAAGACACCGGACTTCTCAGTGTCTTCAAGCAGGATTCTGTCCGATGTCCAAAGCTTGTCTGATACGTACACAACATGGAATTCCTCGCGCCGTTTCTTGAAGACCACAGTTACTGCGTTGGTTCTGATTCTGATTTGATCGGCATCATTGTCAGTGAGAAAGATTCTGGTCCTTGCTCAAGATGAAACAACTCTTCGGGCTCCATTTGAATTGCAAATCTACTTGACTGGACTTGAATTGAAGCGGCTCTGACTGAAATCAATCAAGCAAAACCATTTCAAGCTTCTGCTGATGCTGTTGCTTGAACTATTGACTAACAGTAACTGACTGACAGTGACAGTGATGCTCATGCAATGGTCGAGCCTGCAGTTAGAGCGTCCGGTTGAGTTCAATATAATACCTGCAGCTGACTTGACACTTGGAATCAAAATTCAATTGTCGACAAATAAATCAAACAGAATTCGAGTCCTGTGTGAACCGCCAATGATAATGCATATTGTATCAAAGACGCAGGCCAAACTATCAAATAATAAGTAATAATAGTATGAAGAGATATACTTGGGTCCAATGCCTCACACACAACAGTCTGAGACCAAGCCTTGGCATTTGACAATTGTTTGTCATAACTAATCCTCAGTCAGTGGGTGAGGCAATATAACCAAGATAGCAACAATGGAAATGGGCCATGATTCACAATCAATTGTCAATCAAACGAAAAAATCAAGCGCGGCAGCAATAATGTTTTAGATTACTGAAGCTAATAATGTGCTAAGGCCCCGACTTGTTTTGATCGACCAAAACCTCACTCAGTGATTGAGGGATTTTGTCACCATTGTCCATGACAGTGCTTCAAACTCAACATCAATGTTATTGATTGCATTTTGACTCATTGACTGACTGATTCAATTCAAGTAATGATGTGGAATGGGATCGTCCTTCCCAAATTTACTCAAATCACTGACTGAAAAATCAATGGTCTCAAGGACCACTGCACCTTTGAAGTGATCAGTGAATGGGAACTGTTGGCCTGAACTTGGAACGACGTGCAGGCAGCCATCGATAAAAGCATTCATCTTGAGCCATCCATACTCTTTCAAAGCCTGAGTGTCAAAAGAATTTCTTTGTTGCTTGAACCAGTCGACGAAAGCTTGACCTTTCACAGGACACCTCAAATGGCGCCTGGTTTGCATCACATTGACTTGACTGCTTTGAATGTATGCATTCACCCATTGACAATCGCGCAGAAACTCTTCAAGCAATTTCTGTTGTGTCAACAGAGACAGTTTTAAATCTATAATACGTTTGCTCTTGCTCAAAGATGTCAGCCATTTGTCTGAAGGCATCTTGGTTGGATCTGCTGGTGACACTGGGCTCAAATCAATTCCCTCACTCAATGCCTCCCTGACGGTTGTTTCTGTCTCCACAATGTCTGACAACAAAACTGTCAAAAAACCCACCTGCTCTTTCCGGGCATGCGGAGACGGAAAAAATGACCAGCACGCCAACATTTCTGAAGTTCGCTTCGCACCCAGACTCTCAACGTGCATGTCCACCATTTTTCCCATTTTTTTGGCTGCCGTCAGTGAATCAGCAGATTCGGGTTTGGGATGTGTGCGTTTGGTTCCCCGCCATGATGATTGAATCAGTCTGCCCGGTCGATCATCAGACACTGGTGCTGAATCACTGACACACGGGGCGGATTGAATCAGTCTGCCCGGTCGATCATCAGACACTGGTGCTGAGTCACTGACACACGGCACGGCAGCCTGACCAATTGGACCCATTGGAGTCATGCCCTGAGGCAAAAGGATAGTGACAGCAACCGGCCGAACAGTCATTGTTGAACTTGAAGCTGCCTGCTGCACTCCGCCCGCAAAATTCAATCTGTTGTGGACTGCAAAGTGAGGGTGTGTACTCCACGGAGTCACTGCCAGAGGCATTTTGATTGTCACAGGCTGTGTCGCAGGATCCTGCCTCAAGCTGTCCGTGTACGGCCAGGAACACGGTCGGCCGGCCAACCGTGCACGGCCAGGAACACGGTCGGCCGGCCAACCGGGTCGAACCGTGCACGGCCGGCCGCACGGCCAACCGTGCAACCGGGACGGCCAACCGTGCACGGCCAGCCGCACGGCCAACCGTGCAACCGTGCAACCGTCCAACCGTGCGGGGGGGGTCTGACCGTGCCACGGTCAGCCACGATCACGGCCCGGTTGCCCGGCCAGCGCCATACTCGGAAAATGATGGTAAACCGTAAACCATGGGATGTGGGGTTTTCCCTTAAATTGTCAGACACGCCCACATACCCGGCATCATCCGGCATCCAGTCCTCCATGTCGAGCCAAAACCAACGATGTCAAAGAGACATCCAAGGGGTAGGCTCCTGGCGCTATGATTGCATCATATTGCGTCGCTCAAGTGTGATGAAACAGGAAAGTCACGGAAAGGAACACTTGATCTCAAGATATCTCAAGTGAAATCAATCAATTTTGCCAAACAAACTATTACCATCTATTACCCAGGTTCCACCAAGTGAAATCATTTTCGTTTGTCGCTATTAACCAAAGGCACCTGTGTTGTAGTAACGTTTTGATCCTGTGCCTGAAAGAAGTATGTCAAAGGGAAACTAAAGTATGCCGTAGCTTTCGTCATTCAGGTATGGCAATTAGAGACAGACCACATACGAGCAATCTCGAAACCCTAGGTTCAGGGAAAGGACTTCCACAAATTTGGGAAGGTCCCAACGCTTACCACACGTTTGTACAATAATGATCGAAGGAAGTTTAGAAGTCAAACTTCCGACAATACGGGCAGATGAAAGGCAGAGATGGGAAGAGGCAAAGAGAAGAGAAGAGTAGAAGAGAGCAGATCAGAGAAGAGAAAGTCTCGGAAGAAAGAAGATCCAGGTGCGCGAAAAGGTAAGAGTCGCCAAACACTGTGTTTTTCGCATGATTTGTGGCTCCGGAGGGTCGCTAAAGCGGCGGGTGCGGAGCCAGCTGGCCAGATGAGAGATGAAAAAGTGCACGCCGTTGTGGCGCGAAGCGCATTTCCAAGTCAAAATGTACAAAACACACCAGGTTCGGGCCACTTTTGGAAGTTGAGATGTCGAAAAAGTGCACGCCGTTGTGGCGCGAAGCACATTTCGAAGTCAAAATGCACAAAACACAACATTCTCCGACCACTTTTGGAAGTTGAGATGTCGAAAAAGTGCATGCCATTGTGGCGCAAAGCACGTTTCGAAATCAAAATGTACAAAACACACCATTCTCGGACCACTTTTGGAAGTTGAGATGTCGAAAAAGTGCACGCCGTTGTGGCGCGAAGCACATTTCGAAGTCAAAAGTGCAAAAAACTGACGGGTACGGAGCACTTCTGGACGTTCAGATGCGCTTTCGCGTGGCAAAAGCGAGCAAAACGTGAGGGTTTTGTAGCATTTCCAAAAACGATGGCAGGCGTGGGACATTTGAAGAGGATCTGCAAAGATGCATTTTCCGTGGCAGGCGCAGTACAAGAGACATCTTCATCGGAGCTGTTAGGAGGTCCGGGCGCTGATTTCCTGAGAGGGGTTGCATTTTTGAGCATAGACCTTCAGGTTTGCTGAGATGATTTTGCGTGACAGGTGCAGCACTTCGTATGACCGCTGGCATCACTTTTTCGTGGCAGGCGCAGTGCTTTCGACAGGTGGACTGAAAAATCGCAAAACGCATTGGTACGAAGCTGTTAGCTCTGCACTCAACTTTCCATTTTTGAAGGAAGTCTCGCAGAAT